TTGCCAGCGGGCAGAGGAGAAAGATGCCCAAGTATTAAGAACCACTATCGTTAGTGATACTTGGCAAAATGAAGACCTCATTAAAGACCAAGAGGGCGATCCCGATCTCCGAATAATTCTGAACTGGATGAAAGAACTACTGAAACCAGCCTGGGAAGAAGTTGCCAAGTATTCCCCTACCATAAAATCATATTGGGCACAATGGAATTGTCTCGTTATGGACGACGGACTCTTACTACGTAAAATGAAGGCAAAGAGGAAAGAAGACAAATCGTTATCCCCAGATGTCGGATCCCGGAGCTGCTAGAAGAAATCCATTCCGGTGTGTCAGGAGGTCATGTCGGAGTTACAAAAACCCTGGGAAAAGTGAGGGAACGATTTTACTGGGTCAATAGCAAAGAGGACGTGAAAGACTGGCGCAGGAAATGCGTTGTGTATGCGGCAAGTAATGGACCGCAAAGGAAACCAAAAGGTTCGATGCGCCAATACAACGTGGGGATACCTTTTGAAAGGATTGCTGTTGATGTGACGGGACCCTTTCCAGAAAGTGAAGCAGCAAATAAATAAATCGTTGTGGTAATTGATTACTTCAGGAAGTGGGTTGAGGCATACGCTCTGACAAATCAGGAAGCCTCTACGGTAGCCGATGCTTTAGTAAAGGAATGATCTGTCGATTTGGTGTACCTTTAGAGTTGCATTCGGACGAAGGACGCAATTTCGAGTCAAATCTGTTCCAAAGTATCTGTCAAATCCTTGGGATTAAGAAGACCAGGACTACTGCCTTACACCCAGTCAGATGAAATGGTGGAGCGCATGAATAGGACCATTAACCGGTATCTGGCTAAGGTAGTCTCTAGCCATCAAAGAGACTGGGATAGTTTTCTTCACCTCTTCTTATTGGCTTACCGATCGTCGATTCATGAAAGCACAGGAGAGACCCCGGCTCTAATAGTTATGGGAAGAGAACTTTGTCTCCCATGCGATCTAAAGTTTGGCTATCCACCAGGAACTAATATTGCCGGAGAAGACTACGTAAGTGAGCTGCGTAGAAGAATGGACGCCATCCATAGCCAGGTTCGTGTCTGAATTCAAAGTGCCAGAGACCGGATGAAGGAAGCTTAAGACGTTAATGCCAAAGCCCAGAGGTATGACAACGGTGATACGGTTTGGCTTTACGACCCAAAGATGCGAAAAGGGCAGTCGCCTAAACTTCATTCATCCTGGGACGGGCCATATAAAGTTCTGGAGGCCATCAACGATGTTCTCTACAGGATTCAGAAGGGACCACGCGGTAAAGCTCGAATTGTACATTTCAACCGCCTTGCACCTTATCATGGACACAACGAACATCGGCGGTGTGGCAAATCCAACCAGAATCGGACATGAGATTTGACCAATTTATGGCTCACCATGCTAATGGCCATAAGAGTCGGTATGGCGTGACATGTGAAGTACAGCAAGATCTGTTTACCACTTCACCAGAGTATGCCCTGGCACACTGTGTGGCTCAAGAATTGCGACTGCCGAGAGGTATAGCAAAGGTCTTTCTTAGGAAGTTTCGAAGAGCGCACGAGCTGCGACAATCTAACCAGGAAGTCGGAAAAGTACTCCAGATAACTGAAAAGGGTACTAACCGAAAGATCTTCTATCTGGTTATCAAGGAAGCTTCGTATCAGAAACCAAATTACGAAGATGTTTGGAACGCTTTGTGTTCGCTTAGAGAAGTCTTGCTTGCCAAGGACCTGAGAAAACTGGCAATACCTAAGCTGGCATATGGACTGAACAACCTGGACTGGAGAGTCATCCGAAGCATGCTTGAGGTAGTCTTCCGGTATACAGGCATTCGATTTCTGGTATGTTGTCACAGTCCTAGTCGGCTACCTCCTGGAAAGAGTGTCGATTGTTACTTCTTCAAGCACTCCTACTGCAAGAGAGGGCCGTCGTGCCGATATCGACATCCACCGCCAGTAAGATCATTCCGGGACGGATTGACTTTAGGGAAGGGGCAGTGTGACAAATACTACTCTTGGCGCCATCTGTTGGGCGAGTCTCCTACTCGCCAGAGCTTCATGATCGATCTCTGCTTTTACGCGAACCACGACCGCACAAGCCGCTTGGCGGCGTCAGTGAGGACCATGGCAGTGACTCACCTTCTAGATCGACGCGAAGTGACCTCCAATATTCTAAATGCCGCTTTGAGGTTCACCAGACCTTTCACGAAGCAGCAATGAGGACTATATATAACTCGGCGGCCGGGAAATTGGAGCGGAGTACTGAATACGGTAGAGTAGTGGAGTGTAGTATAGTATAGCACTGGCGACATAAGAATTAGTCAGACATAAATAGTGGTATACATGAATGTTTTATCAAGTTAAATAAATTAGTGCATTTCTTTTTTTGGAACCCAGTGTTCTAATCCACACCCAAAAGAACCCAGAAAAACGCTACAGTACATTGCGTATTTTTATGTTGTAAAAAACTATGTCTAATATATTTTCATGTCCGTCGTACTTCTGCGGTATTAAAGTTCTAACTTTTCCTTGACTTTTATGTATGTAGCTAGACACAAGAATTGGGGGATTATGCGAGGAAGCGACTTCTAAGGAGCATTTAATTCGAAAAAACAAATTAATTGTCAACAACTATAGAAACTGATGCTTATAGAACCCAATACAACAAAAATACAAAAAAAGGTATCAGGGAGGGCTTGAGAATGCATCAGAAGTAATGATTCACATATCGAGAAAGAACGACGAAGTGATTTTATTTCTTTCGAGTGCTTCATTATGGAAATGAATAACGACTACTGTTTTATTTTTGAAGTCAGAATATCTACATAGTGTATCACCATGGCATACTGCTGGGGTGTGTCCCGTGATCTGAGGTTTTGTAATGGTCTTGAAAATGTTAATTGTGTTTCTGTGTATTCAATTCCAGATTTTTTCAATATTTCGAATTAGCTTATTCGCCATATTTTCCCACCGGATCTTTTACAAGGTACTATGGCACCAAGTCATGACCAAACTGATTTCTAGTGCAGGGATGTGTGACAAGGTTAAGAAAATGCTTAAGAAATAATGGTGAACATGTTAATATTGAGTGAATGAATAATTTTATCACTATCAAGTAAAATGTATTTTATGGTTTTGCGTAATTTCGGTAAGATTCTACTTGCTTTGTGATATTAAGAAAAAAAATGGTGGTATGATATAGCATATGAAAGATCAGAAGTGGACGAAGTTTCTTCAATGATTCTAATTTGCACTGGTGCCCATTTTTTTTTATAAACTGTTCCGAAAAGTCACAATTCATTGCAAAATCGAAACATTCAGTAAACCAATATTATTTTGTATAACGTGTACACGGCCTTTTATCTTATTAGCCAAAAAATTTCATCGCTTGAGCTAATAAAATCTGGCGTACCACAAGGTTCTGTTTTAGGGCCACTACTATTCACATTATACACTTCAAATTTAACCACAGTTGTCCAAAATTGTAAAATAATGATCTAGGCCGACGATACCCGAATGTATCTATAATTTCGCCCAAATAATCATGATAACGCTACCTCACTTATAAAGAAGTAATTTATAATTATGCAAAGGACAATGGTCTTTAATTGAACACTGAAAAAACTCAATGATTGAAATTCTCCGACCGTGTAAAAGGCTTGGGGTGCTCTTTGATGAAAAATTAAGGTTCCGAGATCACGTCGCTCTTGTAGTTGAAAACTGCTATTAGTATTTAGCATTAAGACACTAACATTTTTACCAAGTTTAAAAAAAATATTTCCATTTTTTTTTTATTTTATGCCATTATTTTATCCCTACCTAGACAAATGTACTGCAAAACGTTTGCAGAAAATCCAAAGTTACAGTTGCCGTCTGATAAACAATCTAACAAGATATGATCACACATGAGGCCATATCCTTGCTATGAACTGGCTACGTGTTGAAGACTTGTTCAAATATTTGTTGCTTACAATTGTACATAAAACAATGCCTTTATATTTGTACAGAAAATTTGTTCTTCGCTATAATCCACCTCAACAGAATTACTCGTTTTTCAGAAATATTCACTATGACAACAAAAGATATATCTATTCACAAGATCTTTCACATTTAATGCACTCTCTTTATACAATCATCCACCAAACGACCTGAAATATGACTGAATAAGCATAAACGGTTGAAGTATCTCCTGCATATCTAATTGTAATGGTTTCTAGTATTGAACTTTTACATTGCATTTTTTAAAAGAATTTGGTGAATATGTATAATATAAATTTCTAGTATCCGATGAGGTTGAGTGGAAGAATAGCTGAGGCTAAACTTTGCACTATACTGTCTCGTTATAAATAAAGCCGTTTATTATTATGTGAAAACCATATATCAAAATAATTGAGACAAATAATAAAATAAAGGACTCGATCTTCATTATTGAACAAGCGAAGGCTTATCGCATGTTTTTTTCGCTTATTTCTAATACACAAAATTCTGCGTAACTCAAAAACCGTTTGATTTTATACTAAAGTATATGTGACCTCATGTGTTTCAAATGGGGTGTACTACAATTCCTTAAAAGGTTTGTGTCGACCTTCCGAACACCCTCTATATTATAGTGGTTCTATTTTTGCCGCGGATGCGGTATCATATTTAAAAATAAATAAAAACAACCTTTCTACATTCAACCATTAGGTATTTGTAAATTATTAATGTGCGTTCAATCGTATATCATTTGGAATACTTATATTGCGGTTAAGGGTGTCATTCTTCCACAAAGGACTTCTTTCTTGTGTCAGTTGAAGCGACTCAAGACTGGCCTAGTGTAACTTGAAAATTTGTAATGAAGTGTTCTGTGTTGTGTACTACCCTGAAGTCAGTAGATGGTGTGTCGTATTCGCATAGCGAGGTATTGAGAGAATTGTAGCTAGAAAATGACGCAACGGTGGCAGAGCCGTCGTGGTGCTAATGCCAAACCCTGTTACGGTGTGTCTGCAGAATTCCAAGCACCTGCATCAGGAAGATGGGAGTGGTCGCAGCAGCACTAAACAGCAGCAGGTCCCAACTGCGGAGTATTACACCGAAAAATTGGAGAAGAAGGAACGCACGCCCAAGCCGAGCAAGGACAAGCGGGAGAAGTTGACGGAGGAAGAGAAGGAAATGAGGAGGGAAAGGAAGTTGGGGAGGAAAAGGGTGAGGATTAGGACGCAGATATAGTGGAGTAGTTCACCCCGCTATGTACCTCGCCATTCTAGTACATCATCATGGCACCATTGTTGCACTTTGTTAAGCATATTGTGGATATACTGAATGTCATCCTCATTGTGTAACAGTCATCTTTCAATCGGCAATCTGAAGAATGACGGAGATAAGCAAGGTCGTCCACAGTCATATTTAAATAGATAACATATAATTTGAATCTTGATCTACAAAATATTAGGTATCTTAGAAAACCTAGATGAAAGGACAACAAAACATACTTATGGATTGTCATGGTCACACTGTAGACCACCTGACATCTTGATAATCGAACTACCAGCAATCCGTTTTGGAACTAAAAAACATTTTCTTGACGAATGCTTCATGCCAGTATAAAAAATTAATATTGTAATTGTTCAAACTCACTTTTTGATAAAAGTATCTTAAAAACATTCAGCAATATTTTTGCAACAGCAAAGTATTTAATAATTCTTATATCGTTTTTCCATTGAATAGTTGTACATTTCAATTCATGCAAACGCCCCTGGTGATAGGTATCACGGCGAGATACGCTGTAAGGTGAACTACTCCACTATGATTTTCACCCTTATATCCAATCCTTATGGATTTTAATACAAGAATAAAAATCAATCCTCACCCCACCTGAAAGAATTGACTTTTACATGTAAAAATATTTTTCTTTTTACTTCCCACGCATTCTGGCGAGGAAGTATGGTAATCACGAGAAATTTCGAAAATGAGATTGTTTTTTGGATGTTATATGTATGTACATCATGAAAAACCATGTCGCTTATTTCCGTCGGTCTGTCTGTCTGTCGGTATGTCCGCTAATCTTTTGACCCCCTATAACTTGGAAAGTACTGCTCGGATTTGGACGAAATTATCACACTATGCTATATACGAAATGCTTTGCAGTTTTTGGAATTCGGTGCAGAGGTGGCGGAGCTAGGTTCAATATCACGGGGAAAATAAAAACCGCTCACCGTTTTTGGATGCTGCAGAGGTTCCATTTTCAGAAAAAAATTTCTAGGGGTTGAAAATTGGCGGTTGAGGGAAGCTATATCTTATTTTTTGGCAACAGTATATTTATACTATTTTAATGCCAGTAATTTTACTCACCCATCAATACATATTTCACATATCATAGATTTCCCCGTAGATTTGTCCTTAAAACTCGAAGAAATATTTATAGACCAGACACGAGGTCGGCCGGGATGCAACCTTCATACGCTGAGCACTTCCTGCGTCTGATTGACTCTGACTGCATTGCCGCTTCTCTCGAGTTACTTGGTGTTACCTATGTGTAGTTCAGCACCGTTGCCAGATGGTAGAAACTTACAGCAGGGAAAGTACAGGGTGCGGCAGAGAGGATGGACGGTTTTAAAAAAATCATAAAATAGTTAATTTTTACTCGAAAACAAATTTATTGATGGAATCAGGTTCACAAGGAAATATCATTTGAGACAGTCAAGTGTGGAAAATCACATCAGGCATGTGGTGGCCAAAATCGTTGATGCAGTGCTGGAGGCGTTCTTGGAAGTTCGCGTAGACTCTCTCCAACATCGCTCTCTCAACTTGGGCGGCTTCCACGCGAATTTCGGGGCTTGTTCGCGTATACTCTAGCCTTGAGGTGTCCCCATAAGAAAAAATCGCATATGGATAAATCTGGGGACCGAGGAGGCCAATGAACATCGCCAAACCTGGAAATAAGGCCACCAGGGAAGAGAGGGCGAATAACGTCCATGGATGCTCGGGCTGTGTGGGCGGTCGCCCCATCCTGCTGGAACCACACACGTCGGATTGGAACACGTCGCCGTCGTAATTCAGGGAGAAAGAAGTTTGTGATCATGTCGACGTAGCGCTCTGAGTTCACGGTAACATCACGACCATTACCGTCTTCGAAGAAGTAACGGCCAATGATGCAAGTTTGCGATACAGCGCACCAAACCGTTACTTTTGGGCTGTGCAGCGGTCTTTCGTGTAACTGTTGCGGATTTTCATTAGCCCAATAACGACAATTCTGCTGGTTAACCATGCAGTTTAGGTGAAAGTGGGCTTCGTCTCTCATAAACAAAATGATTTTGATCGATCAGTGCTTCCATCTCACGTGCGAAATTCATTCCTTGCGCAGAATCTCCGGGCTGTAATTGTTGCACAATGGCCAATTTGTAGGGGTGGAAGCGGATATCCATATGCAAAATTAGCCTTACCGAACGATCACTAAGGCTATTTCGGACGAAACAATCATAGGCGAAAACGCGGTGCTCCACCGTCCAAGGCTCGGTAACGACAACTGGTAAAATAATGCTAGGATCTCACGAGTCAAACGGCACCCTCCCCACCTCTCTCGTAGACGGAGGCGGAGAGTACTACCCATCCCAAAAATGTCCGTCCTCTCTGCCCATCAAATGCGTGGGGTCTATGGAGTTTGGACTAATTGTATGGGCCTGTTTGGCTGACCTAATCCATTTAATTTTCTTGTTATACATGTTTGTGGCTAGCTCAGAGTGACTAACTTGTGCCAAACATAATGGTTTATGAACTGATGACACCGTTGCGTGGCAAGTTCAGAGTCAACCTACTCAACGCCATTTTTTTATATCTAGTGAAATCTGTGATATTTTAGAAACCAGTTGCGCTAGGTTAAATTCCGAAGAAATTTACTGAAGGTTGTATTTCGCGCTATGCTTCACCATGTTCGAAAACGCTCAGAAAAATCGACAAATCTAGTCATATCTGTCTCGGTAAAAAATTAACATATTATGATCAAAAAGCAAACAAATTACTATAAAGAAGTCCAACTTGCATTGTATTATAATATTTGCATGTTTCACTCCAGTTTAATTTTTGAATTCCATTTCCACGTATGGATGTGATGTGATGGATGAAACAAATAATCCATTTAAAAGATCACACCGGATCACACCACATGCATAGCGACAAATACCTTTTTTCTAATATCGAAATTTTATGATTTCTTAGATCGACCTACTAGATTTAGGTATTTCAAACTGATGTAGTCTAGATATTTTCCTAAAAGATGAACTACTTAGAGCATAAAAATAGTTTTCGAAACTTCTAGCATTTTAAAAATCAAACTGTCATCCCAAGAAAGCATAAATCTGATGAGAGATTCTGCTTTTCACAGATAATTCTGGTTTTAATGTGTAGTCACAAATAAGTTGATATCCATTGTACTTAGGTATACATGTGATTTTATCGAAATACCCACAATTAAAATCACACTGAGACAGAAAAACAGATTTTAGGGATTAAAGTAAAATAGTCTGTAGAAATGTTCATACGACCTTGTTAACAGTAATCTGTTTGTTACTTACCACGTCAGTTGGCGAGGAAGTAGTATGATTGTGAAAAATTCCCAAAATGAGATATGACTTTTTTGAATGTTGTATGACATGTATGTACATCACGGAAAACATGTCGTTCATTTTTGTTTCGGTTTGTCTGACCGCTAATCCTTGGCCCCTCTATGACTTGGAAAATGCCGTCAGGATTTTGAAGAAAATTTCACACAAGGTTAGCACTATGCCAATAACGAAAAAGCTTTATTATTTTTTTCAGTGGCGGCGGAGCTACGAGCAAAAAACTACAAAATAAAGATCGCCTAAATTTTTTAAGGCTTCAGGGACTCGTGCGAGTTTTTGGATATTTTTTTGAGGGTTATAAATCTGAGGGTGAAAGGGGGTTGGCCGGATAATTTTACGCACACATTAGACATATTTCATATTTTTGTGATTTTGATGATAATTTCACACAAAATTAGTGCTATGCCAATGACGAAAAAACTTTCTGGTTTTTGACAAGCGGTCTAGTGACCACCGCGCTTAGGACAAAAGAACGAAAAATAAAGGTTGGTTAAACTTTGTTTTTTTACCCTTCTGGGGTTCGTGCCCGTTTTAGGATTTTTTTCGAGGGTGTGAGAGTAAACTCCGTAATTTTCCGTACCTATTAGACTTATTTCACACAAAGATATCCCCGAACAAGAACAGATCTTGTTGCAAAGGATGATGGGTGAGTGCAGTGATTTTTCCTGGGGGTGGGGATTAGACATTGGCAAAAGCTCTTTGTATATTATGATTATGTATCAGACCTCAGAAACTTTTGATGAGCGGGAGTAGCAATTTTCTCAGGAGCCAAATCTTAAAATCTGAAATATAGCACATTATGATAAAGATGCAGTCCCACTGGTAATTTTCAGATTCTCGCCCATTTGTACACGCATCTTCAGTCGCCCGACTGTGGTCATGTTTACACTGTAGTCATCTAACCACAGAACCGTGCTGTTCCGTGTCTTTCTTAACACTGTACCATTCCATTCTCGGAATACCCGGGTGGAGGATGGAGTCTCAGGAACAACATCAATGATAAAATCTCCTTCACGAACATCTGCGGGATTAACTTCAACATTGATGCCGTTCACCACTGTCAGCGGTAAAATCGTGTTTTTCTTGGTGGATACCAAAATCACCGACAAACCATCGCTAGTTTACCGAACCACGAGGTGTACTTCAATTTTAAGAAGAACGGCGGAGTTGTGACATTTGTTCGTAGTAGCCGTTCGACACCAGATATCTCTTTGGGATCATGTCGGACGGACATTCTATGGCTCCGTCTCAACTCCAAACCATCCCTTCACAATGTCAACGCGGATACAATCGGCCTTGGCAACGACATTGTTATTGTTTATCAACGACCTCTTGTCCTGTATGATCAATCTGATCTATAGCTTTGCTGATGTCATCTACATGAAGGAATTCAGAGTACCAAGCCAATATCTGCTGGTCAGGTGGAGGGAATAAGAGTAGTAGCGACTTCCTGTCTGAGAGAGATTTGGACTCAAGTCGCGTACGCCTAGTATGTATGCACAAGTGCCACCATAGTGCCACTCCACAATTTTCGATAAAGGGATGTTCCTATATACCTTCATTGTCGAATATTGTTGGGTGACCCCGTCGTGAGACCAAATGCTCAATGACAGACAATTTGATCCTATACGGTTTTTCCAAATGCAAGTCTTAGATTCAAAATCTTTCTTGGTTTTTCAAAGTATTAATATTCAGATTATTTACTAAACGGATGATAACGATTGTATAATTTTAGGACAGAGCAGAAGAGATTCTTCAACAAGAACTAAAAAGAAGAAGGGATGATGAAAAAGGTATGCTATGATTTCTCAAATTCTTACCTTACTTCACACGCAATAAGTTTAAGCTACAGTAAAAAATTTGGAATACATTCCTGCTTTACGTTATATATTTTGAAATGTATAGTAACTTAAGACATTTTGTTTTTATTTTTCAGTGCAAAAAATGTTGGCCCCAAATGGAGAGTTGATGGAACCCCCAGTGCACAGAGAAAAACATCATAGATCGTCAAAGGTAAATTCCAAAAAGTATCCATTTTGAAGATGATACGTACTTTAAACTCATCTCAATTTGAATTTTGAATATTTTTTAGGAAATTTCGCCCTATCAAAGAGAACGATCACATGAGAGGTCCGAATCAAGAGAGAAACAATATCCTTTTTTGTTATACGAAATTTGATTTTGTTAAACATTCTTATTTGAGCTACATATAAAGCAGTTACAATAGGCTTGTTTAAATGAATTACGAAAAGCCGCTCTGGTTTCCAGTTCTCAAATGCTGACGAAATCTTTGAAAGTTATCAGGCAAGGAAGTCGATAAATATACCTCTGTCGCAATTTTGTTAAAGTTTGCTGTTCCACACTACGAACGAATAATATAATACTAATAGCTTGTAGTAACTACTTGATGATAATATGCTTCATCATCACAATTCACACACGTCAGATGATGAATCGTTTCAGTATTCTACTGACCTTAGTTGTAGTGGGACGTTAAAATGAATTGTACATTAACATTGCCATTTTGTCTCCTCTTCAAGATGGCACAATTAGAATTTCAATATGATGTTTTGTCTCTTGTCCTCCAGCATAAACATTGTTTCTTAAGGACGCCATGTTGGATTTGCGTAGGTGAATAGTTTTTGATTCTGATTCTAAAAATGTGTGTCATACCAATACATTGACATTGACAAACCTCAGTTGTTCCATAAAAACAGAATTATCTAGATAGGCCTTGAAATTAACATAGTCATTTGTCTCGTATACCAGACCAGACCTCAAATTGAACATAGAAACAGAGTTTGGAAGACTAAGAAGAAGGGAAATATAGCCAAGAGTGAACAATGTACTGAGTCAAGTTTTGCCTACAAAATAATGGTCATCAGCTATGATTTATCTTTGCTTATTTACGATTATTATTAATAGCATCACAAAAAAAACATTTTGTGTTCAGGTTTCACCATACCGTTTTATTTCCTTATAATTTTCGTTCCAACAACAAATTAATGGCCAATAAAGGAAATAAATCACTGAATTTAGGACTGAAGAGTCCATTTAAATATATAAAATTCCAATATATCGCCCATATGTAAAAACAAAGTTGGTGATGGAAGTCGAAACAATAAACCTCGAATTGAAAAGTTGATTACGTCATCTTGTAGAGCAGAATAAGTAGCAATAACAACATGTAATCTATTTTGAAATATCATCTCAAATAAAGTCAGGAACAAATTAAAATGATTTTGTGATGAGTCTGGTATGCGAAACAAATGACTGTCTGATAATTTCAAGGCCTATATAGGAAGTTCTGTTTTTGTTTAATAACTAAGGTTTGGCAATGTCAATGTATGACGTATTACAAATTTTTGGAATCAGAATTAAAAACTATATTCACCTGTACAAAAATCCAATCCAACTACAAATAAAGTTAGAAAAATTAAAGCGATTTTGGTAAAATTCAGTTTTTTTGTTTGTCTTCAGTACTTCAAATTTCGAAACTTTTCAAGTGTCATTTTGTTAGTTACCAAAATACCCAATTTTAGCGTTTCAGTGATCCCAATGGCGAGGGTCGAATTTGAAACACCCGGTATAGAGTAGATAATCAGTATGTACATGCTATAACTTTCGAGTAAAGCAAGAAAGTTATCACTATTAATTTCTTATATAAAATGATGGAACGGTACTGGCAAGGAAACCCCGGATTTCCAATTTCAACGGATGAAATAACCATTTCAAAATTAAACCTCTCTCTATCTCAGTAATTAGCGACATTCTATAAAGGCATGTTTAGTTAAAATTATTATTTTTCTGAATGTATGTTTCAAGAATCGGTAAGTTACTATTTCATTTTTGAAACAAGTGTGAGCGTCTTGATAAAGCTATTCATTATTTCACATGTTTGGTACTATTTTTATATATATTTTCCTTAACAAAGCTTACCAGGAGGAGTTCGGAAAACAAAAGAAGATAGCTGAAGGGGCATCGTCACACGTGTCGTAATTTCATCTCTTAGAACTTGTGTAATCAATTTTTGAAGGTTCGATGTGTATATTTTATATTAAAAATAGACTTAGTTTCGATCATGTTCTACTTTTTTCTACAATATGTTGAGAATGTACAAAATAAAGATAAAACGCCATTGAATCTTTGTTCACTACATAATTAATACCTATTTGTCATGGCGGCAGAAAACTCGATTAAAGTTTTGCCTATCAGTGGGCTCTGTCAGGTTGAGTTTCCCAGATACCAGTTAGATGAAAGGAAAGAGGTAGACATGTTAATTGAAGGAGTGCCTTGACATTTGTTCCGTCAAAAATCGTTCAACAGATTTAGCGCTGTACTGACGCACACGTTCACTAGAACTAAGGTAATATAGGATACTTAACATACTAAATATATACTTACCACATTATTATCACTTTGCACGTTTGCCATATATTCGAGAAGATATGCTATAGAGGATAAGCTCCATTTTCTTGATGACGAACAAATCACAATACGCAGGCTACTAGAACAAAGCCGTATCTTCAGCTTCGCCATCTGTAATACTATACACAACGGTTTAATCCTATATGTCCTTAACGGGGCTCCTGCAATCGGGGCTCGTCGGCGCTACTTCAAAAGAGGAAAGGATGAATGTGGGTGCGTACCTAGGTAAATTTTTATAATAATAGAGTCCGATTTCGATTAGCGATCTAGCCTGTAAATCGTTTCCTATTGCGGTACTCAGCAAGAGATCATTAATTTAGTATTGTTCTATCCTTGTTATTGTTCGTCTATATTGTGTTGTTGAATTGTTGTGCTGTACTCTTGTTGGTGTGATTGTTCTTGAGTGCCTTTTTTTATCAAGGTTGATAATGGACAATAAAAGGTCATATGCGACAATTTTAATTACGAATGCAGTGATGACAACAATAGTGTGGAATAGTTCAACTCTATAATCGCAAAATACATTGGGGTAAGCGAATAAATTATTGCAAGTATAGGTCATACCATGGAAGATGTGCTGCAGCTGTAGTGAGCCACAATACCGAGCGACCTGTCTATGTGGTCCAAATAAATTTGCGTTCTAAGCTTAGTCCAACCTCGCATATCACTAAGATCTAACAAAGACTCAAACGCAAGAATCTTGAAAAGAAACAACAACTCGGATAGCAATTTAAAAAAAAATGAATAGTTTTATGGCGAATTCTGTCAAAAACCTGACACGAACGACATTGATTTGGAGGCTGCTAAGCAAGAATTAGGGAAACTTAGAAAAAGTGACGACGAGATTTTGCAGATCGAACAAGTGACCAAATCACAGTACTGTACTTTGTGGCGTCTTCATCGGAGGATGAGGTTAACAGCGTCTCGCTTTGGTGAAGTTTGTAGAAGGCAGACAGCAAGCTGTAAAGTTCTAGTAAACACCATCATATACCCAAAAGAGTTTTCTAGTAAGACAATAAAAAAAGGCAATACAAAAATCATGGGACACGGCAGTTCAATCTTGTGGTTTGTTTATTGATCGCACACATCCATTTCTGGCAGCATCACCTCTATCTACCTATTACAGTAGACAAAACATGTACTTAATCCAGGTATAAGACTACCTGTTTATTGCTTTGCAAGAACTACCGAACTGTTTCCTCTTATTTTGACGGCATAAGATATTTTTATGATCCTCGTTCAATTGTTACCATCTACCACATGACCCTTGGTAAACATAATTGTGTTTATTGACATGAATAAACGAATTTGAATTTGAGTTCTTGAATTTATTTTAAGAAAGATATATAATTATTTGAATACATTTGTTCTTAGTCGGAACGCACCGTCGCGTCGCTTGGACTGGCAACACTTCACAGCCTCCGTTTCATTTCTATTATTTCCAAATGAAAGTCTTGCAGCGTGCTAACAATAAAGTCCACAGGTTGCTAACGATCCACTTTTTCGGTTTTATCCACTGGGATCTTTTTAAACGTAGGATTCATACTTTCAAATAACAACAAAATTGGATTATATTCGTCAAGTAGTTTTTTGAGAACTTCTAATTGTTTATCCCAAAATACCTCTTTTCTGGCCATCACTACTAGTTTATTGAGTAATATACAGGGTTCATTCAAGGATCATTTAATATCAAGATACAACAAGTACCTCAGATCTGAAAAAGATTATAGTTGATGTGATTGAGACCTTGCAGGGAATTGGTTTGTGCGTCGTTGCCAGTGTTTGTGATCAGGGTGCCACAAACAAAGCTGCACTTGAGGCACTTTGCTCAGAGAATACCCACAGATAAAGTCCATTCAATTTTATAGTCGATGATCAGAGTATTTTCACAATTTATGATGTTCCACATTCATTGAAAAATACTCGAAAAGTGGAAAAACTGCAAAGCTTGAGCATATCCTCAAAGCATATAATCTTGATCAGCACACAAGAACATACAAACAGCTTTGAAACCCCCATTTTAATTTTAGTAATTCATTTATGAAGATGAAAGTTAAAATGGCAGCTCAATTGTTTAGCCACACTGTTGCTGCATCTATAGAGACATTTGTTGTGTCAGGTGATTTACCCACTGAAGCACTACAAACAGCAGAGTTTCTTCATCTAAGAGATCAGTTGTTTGATTCTCTCAATGGTTCAACTTTTAAGCCACAGCATGGTAAGAAATTTCGATGTGCATTATCAAATGAATCGGTACATTTGCAATTTTGGGAGGACCTTTTGCCAAACATCCAATACTGGAGAATATTAGACATTGATAATGGTTCCCGACGTACGAACTTCAAGTTTCAACGTGGTTGGCTCTATCAGGGCTATTAATCATCTGTGGGGGAATCTGAAAGCTAAAGGTTTTAAATTTTTGTCTTTGAGGAACTTGAACCAAGATCCTGTGGAAAACCTGTTTCGCCAGATTAGGCAACATGGGATTTCCAACATGAACCCCACCTACCACCAGTTTGTTTATTGCAGTATTAAAAACTAATAATCAACAATTTCAGTTCCCCTGTTCCCCATTGACAAAAAGCAAGAATTGTGTAATGGGTTTTTGGTAGTTTCCTTATGATCGTATTTTGGAATTATTAATCAGAAACTTCCCATGGAGGTTTCTGATTCTTCATTCCATATTGCAAATGCACCACATTACGGTATCTACAGAACAAAATTATTTTCCCGATTATATTGTTTTATTTATAAGTCTTGAACGAACCCAATCATAAATACACGTGAGGTGTTTGATTTTTCCTAATGCAAAATTGATTTTTGTTATTGGTATTAGGAAAACCATTTAATACAATCAAATAAAAATAAAGATGACAATGAGTGATAGTTATCGTGAGAGAGAAGGCAACCACAATAGCACCGCCGTATGTCACTAAAAAACATGGCTGCATATGTCATTGGTCGAATTTTTCTGAGTAGGCAGGCGTTCTTTCTGTGTCATGTTTGTTCTATCACTTCAAAAACATGGCGACATTCGTGTTGCTGGTTGAATTGCACTGAGTAAGCGTTCTTTCAGTGTATATGTTTTGTGTTGTCAATAACCGGTAACCGGCTATCGCGATTTGAAAAGCTTGAAAGAGTTGTGAGAGAAACAAAAAACTTTTGTAGGGTAATTGAAGACACAAGTGGATAAAGGTGTCATGTAACATTTTTTCAAAAACGTATTTTTTTCGTTCAATAGGCTTAAGATTTGCTTTTCTTTCATTATCAAGTCTCGTTATTATACAATATTTGTGAATTACCTAGATATTCAAGTGATAAAGGTGTTATGTACCCATATTTTTGCCTTTGACAGTGGATAAAGGGGTCAAGGTAACATGACACCTTTATCCACTGTCAAGTGTAAATTTTCTGTCGAGAATCCACAGCATGACATTTGAATTTGAGGTTAGGTATGTCATTGTTTTGGATTTTATTATACAATGGTTATGTGTAAGAGTGCTGTTTTTGAAACTGTTGGTTTACTAACATAATATATTCAGTGATGTCTAGAGGAAAATACATTTTAAAGATTCTAGAGGATCAACAAAAAGCATGTACTACAAGACCAGGTAGAAAATTAGTGGCTTTTATTATTTTGTTGTTATTTTGTACTGATTTTGCATTGATTTTAGAAACTAATCACGATGGATCAATTAGTCCCATGAGAAGTTTTGGAAATAAAGAGAGCGAAAATATAGGCAATAACCCTAAGACGTTTCCTTGTCTTAATATTTGTCCTAAACCTAGCACAAATAAAAATGATGCAGAATTCATTAAAAATCTAACAGCTAATCCTCGGATATCAATTATTCCCAGTACCAGTAGAGGTATGGACGCAATCAATATTTATTTTAAAAGAGGTAATTAATTAGTTTTATTGTTTATTTTTAGATATATACCAGTCTCCATCGTCTCATAAAGATTTCAGCGATGAGGATGTCACAAGCTGCAGTGAATATATCTCCGAAACCGAATCGAGTAATGAATCAGATAATGAGCTGTTATCCAACGTTCGAAACAAGCTATTATCTCAAACCAGGCATGACTCAAACCAAAGCTCAAGTACTCAATTAACTCCGGAGAATCGATTTATATCGCATATTACTGCTGATATTGGATTGCCCAATTTAAAAGATGACCATTTTTTGGAAGAAAAAAGAGAAAGAGTGAAAAAGAAAATATTTCAGTTGAAGGAGAAAACATCTAAGAAACGTCTTAGGAATCCAGATCAGTGGAGTAGAAGAAAATCTGCAATTTTAAGAGCAAGAGGAGAAGAGTATCTTTCTCAAACAGGGAAAGTTATGTCAAAAAAAGAAATAAATTCTGGATTGCTGTGCAAAGAAAAATGCAGATTACATTGCTCTGACAAGTTTCTTTTAGAAGATAGAAAAGCAATTTTAGAAAAGTATTATGCATTAGATATAAACGCAAAAAATGCTTTGTTATTTAAAAGCATAAACATCAAACCGGTTGCAAGACATAGGACTAATGTAAAAAAAGAAAAAACATATTCTTTTAGTTATTCCATTACTTTTAATAGAAAAACAGAAATCATATGCCGAGGTGCACTATGTTCTCTTTATCAGATTAGCTGAAAGAAAATTGAACTTATGCAAAGAACACTGAAAAAAGGAATGAATGCTCCAACACCTGACAAAAGAGGTCAACACAAAAACAGACCTCATAAAATTAAAGAGGATGTCATTGCGTGCATTATGGATCATATCCAAAAATTCCCCTCAGAAGAGTCACATTACACACGTAATAAAAACTGTCATAAAAAATATTTGTCACCTATCCTTAATATGGCTACAATGTATAAGTTGTACATCGAAGACTGTGAAAACAGAAAACTGGATGATTCTTTCAAAGTGACACTTTCTTCCTATGCTAAAATATTTTGTACAAAGTTCAATTTATCTTTTGGCCACCCTAGAAGTGACACGTGTAGTGTTTGTGATTCAGGGCAAAACACAGATCTGCATACAGAAAACTTTAAAGCTGCATTTGAATCACAGAGACGTGATAGAGAAAGACCATCAATGGAAGAAGATACCTGCTATATAACTATGGATATGCAACAAACGATGCCACTACCAAAATTATCTACCAGTAAAGCTTTTTACCTTCGCCAAATGTGGTACTATAATTTTGGTATCCATTATGTAACTGCTAGTGGATCAAAACCTTTTTTTTTCAATTGGACCGAAGATGTAGCAAAACGAGGAAGTATTGAGATAGCTAGTAGTTTACTCCGATTTTGTCAGCAGCTCAAAGAATCTCACAAAAATATTAATCATCTAATCATTTGGTCTGACTCTTGTGCAGGCCAAAATAAAAACTTCAATATTATCAGTCTCTATCAATTTTTAATTTTAAATGGAACATTGAAAGTCATCGATCATAAGTTTCCAGAAGTTGGACACAGCTACCTAGACTCAGACAGAAATTTTGGCAGAATAGAAAAAAAACTTAGAAAGGTTGAGAATATCTATGTACCCGAACAATACCGTGAGCTAATTAAATCTGCAAGTACGAAAAACTGTGCTACCCTCGATATGGAAAATTACTTCTATGACTTTAACGAACTCTCAGGGAAGTTGCATATTTGGAATAAAAAGACTAATGATATGGGACAAAAAATCTGTTTCAGAGATAGTGTCAAATGGATTAGAGTTGATGAGTTCGGCAGCTACTTTTATAAAGAAAATCTGGATGAATATTCACCTTTTCATAAAGTAAATCTATTTAAAAAAGGAAGTAGGGTGATACGTAAGGAGGACAATATTACACTACGCAGAATCACAGAGAAAAAAGGTGGACTTACTGCAGAAAAGTTGAGTAACTTGCGTGAACAGTTAAAGTTTGTCAAGAACGAGTATAAATGGTTCTATGAAAAAATTTTTGAAGAAAACGAAGAGAATCCCAAGAAAAAAAGAAAAGCAATTGGTTCATTTTGATGAGTTTTGAGATTTTTGTTACTTTTGCAATAAAATACCAATGTTTAAGTACATAACACCTCTTTTCATTTCCCGTCAACACAAGGTTTTGTCAACTTCTTATGGATAAAGGTGTCATGTACTTTCAAAGTACATTTTCTCTCAAAATATCAACATGTCTTCAAGTTAAACAAGAGAAAAAGAAAATATTTAATGCTGTTTAAAAAAACATTTATAGAAAATGCCTGAAATTGAATGCATAAAAAAATTCCAATCGGAAATCTTTAAAGTGATTTTTCTCAGAATTGTTATTTTGTGACATGACACCTTTATCCACTTGTGTCTTCAATTATGAAGTATTACAATCTTTCATTTACCAGCAGACGCGAGAGAACAACGCTGCACCACAATTTGAAAGCGGGACTTGGCGTGAGCAGTTGTTTCAAGAAGCTGTTCATGAGATACAACCAAAATTTGAAAAAATTGAAAAACTCCCAAACAGATCCCACACGTAGGACAAAAATAACTCGACTATTGGACGAAGTAAGTATAGATTTTAAAAATAGTTAATATACGTAGCATCTGAAAATGATCCTGTGGTATGTGGTTGTACTGCTGATTAATCCACACGTTTTACTGGTATAGATAGCCGACCCAATACCAAGGAGTAGGTATCTTTAGGAAGAGAAGATAGTAAGAGAAGGCGAACAAAATTAGAGAGAGATAAAAGATTACTCCAAAAACATGGCGTCCACAAAACAGCTGATAGCGTCAAAACACAAACATGGTCTTATTTATTGGGAGATAAAGGCGGCGTTGCCAGACAATCTTTTTGGATGAATTCATTGATTATCTCACTTGTAAATGCATTGTTTGTTCAAACATATACTAAGTGACATATAAATCCGAACACCCAGTTTAAATGGTTTTATTTTAATAAACTGCTGTATAAGTACTTAATGAAGCATAAGAAGTAAATGATAAAAATTTCAAAATGATTGCACTGCTTTAAAGCCCTTTGACCTTTAATAATGTGTGAATGCACCCTGATGTGCTACGCATTCTCCAACACGCCTAGGCATGCTTCTGATCAGGTGGTCAATGTCCTCCTGTGGTATCTCATTCCAGGCAACCACCAACTCCTCTCGAAGTGCTTCTAGAGTCTGAGGAGGACGTTGCAAATTGAGCAATCTCCTACCCATCATATCCCACACGTGCTCAATTGGGGATAAGTCGGGAGATCTTGGTGGTCATGGTAACAATGTGACATCATTATGTTGAAAGAAGTCTATTGTGACTCTTGCAACATGTGGTCGGGCAAAAAACTGTGGATTCCTCCTTTCACCACGTCGCCTTCTAACCCTGGCACGACCATCGTGCATGCCTCAACAAAATCAAGACTCGTCACTAAAGACAATACTGTTCCATTCCTGATCCCAGAGTGACCGTTGTCTGCACCAGTCAAGGCGATTTCGTCGGTGTTCTCGAGTTAAAGAGAGGGCCCAGTGTGGCCGGCATGAAAACAAGCCAAAACTTCTCATTCGTCGGTAAACACTTCGCATGCCAATAGGTCTTCCGTGTTCTGCAAACCATTCATTTGCAATGGACCTGGTAGTGGAGAAACGGTCCCTTAAAGCCAATAATCTTAGGCGGCGATCTTCACGGTCTGTTGTTCTACGGCGGCGTCCAGTGCCCCTTGCTCTTTGCGTACGGCCTTCTCGAAGCCATGCCTGACAACACCTAACCACAGTGTCTACACTTCTTTGCACTCTAACTGCAATTGCCCGAAAAGAAAGTCCAGCTTCCCGAAGTCCCACTATATACGGCCCCTATCAAACTCACTAAGTTGACGAAATCGTACAGGTCTCCGTACTCTAGGCATCGTAACCGATCGTAAAGGATGTCAAGAACCAAAATCCGCCAACGTTGATTCTTTACTGCGGCTGAAATATTCATTTTTAGAGCGTTAGTGAATTAAAAAAAGCAGTATAAAAACCGGAATGTCCAACTGATAAGGCTAAAAATTTTGTCACTTGTTATTTACAGTAAGATAAATACATTCACCAACTTTTATTAAACTAAAACCATTTTAACTGGGTGTTCGGATTTATATGTCACTTAGTATACTTAATTTACATTTAACCATGGTGGGAATATTTATCATCCGTTTGTCGTCTACAAAATATATTTTTCATTCAGTAAAGTTACAAATACCTAACACTTTTCGCGAGATAAGTTATTCTCAAAACCTGCTGTAAGTTATTACATAGCTATTTAACCTTTAGGACCTTACGCGGAATATTAGACGATTTAGTTTGGTAACAAAAGTGGAACATCAGCTCAACTCAAAAGTTTTGTAATCTCAAAATTGCAAATTTTCAAATCGTCAGTCTAGCTTGACAAGATTACCAGTTGTCATGACAGTCTTAAGTCAGAACTTACAGAATACTTACTTCGTATGACTTTTTGACGTAACCACCAAAAGAAAAGAACTGAACTGCATTCAGCTGAATATGAATTTATACTATACATTTTTTGGCAGTTTGGCAACACAACATACATGCAGAGTTATCCATGAGCGAATCGCCAAACCAGCTACGTAAGATGTGACTAGTTCTTATCTTATTATATATTAGCACGCGATTATGTAAAAAACTCCGATTGACTTCCCTACTATAATGCAGAAGACTCCCAAGATCAGTGGGCCTGAACGATGAAGTATAAAAGCATACCATAGGTATATTTTTTCTTTGCTGATACTATATTCGCGGGTCCTAAACCTTATCCGACATCATATGAGATACCGTAGCGTCATCTATGAGAACTTGTACTCATATCATTCTCCTCTCCACAATAATAAGTTGGAGTTGAAAAGGTTAGTGTCTCGTAGGTGGCGCTGTAGCGATATGCTCATATATAGTTTGCTACAGCGCCATCCCCGAAGCTCTGAATTTTCAAAGTAGATTCCTAATTATTACGAAGAGGAGAAACAGCTGTGACAAATCCTCATGCTACAGTATCTCATTTCATCTCGGATAATTTTACGGACGCGCGAACGTAGTATTAGGTTTGGTTTGTATATAAAGTTATTGTTTGTGTAAACTTTACTAACACCCTGTATAAAGGAAATGAGGATAACTTATAACAAATCAAATATGCCTGCCAATATTTCTAGTGCATGATGTAAAATAAAAGATTACACAAATAGTTTTCATAAACATGAGATCTATAGTGTCCAATTGAGATTGAAGTTCCAATTTAGAATTAAAGAAATTATCTATCTAATAATCTTGATAGTGTCAAGATATTGACTTGACATTTTGTACAATTACCTAGTACTATACTATAACTATCTAAAACTGTAATGACTCATCAATGTTCACGTGAACATCACTTAACTACCAGTAGTCGGCTGTTCATAGGCGGGGTATGAATGTTTAATATGGGTGAACTAGATTTGTCACATGCTTAATAAAGAGTGGTTTGAAACATATTGTAAGTCAAAAATTTGGGAATTACCTTTATTCATCGTCGCTTCCACTTACATCTGACAGTTATAAACTGTCGCTATCGCTTTTCTCGTTGAAATTGACTATAACTGGCTCTAGGACTATTTTTTGCCGCAACTTGAAGGAACCAACGTCAATATCCATCGATTGCAGTCCTTCTTCGGTGATCGCGTGATTTCCCGCAGAGGAAATGTGCCATGGCCACCAAGATCGTGCGATTTGACTCCCTTCGACTTCTTTTTATGGGGATATTTGAAAAGCAAAGTCTACGTCAACAAACCAGCCACCCTCCAAGAACTCAAAAACAACATCATTGCCGAGATAAATGCCATAGAACCGACCATGTTGCAAAATGTCATTGAAAATTTCGACCATCGCGTGGACGTCTGTAAATCCAGTCGTGGTGAAGATTTGAGCGATATTATTTTTCATACATAAATGGTATAAATGAACCTTCAAAATAAAGTACCCAACTTGATTTGAATATCAATCTTTCTTGTTTTAATATGCGTTTACTTTCCTGCGTCCGTTTTGGACAACCCCATATATATATACGGTATCGATATTCGATAAAATATTTTTCTTTCTGCCATGAATGCGTGGAAAAAACAAAATAAGGAGAGATCTAAAATAAGGAGTTATTGACGGCCTAAAATAGCCAGGCGCTAATACTTCCTGGCCGTATTTGAACATCTGATCAGGCACAGTAAAACAAAAATAAGACTTGGAATTAAATAAAGTTTATTTCGACAGTTGGCAGAGTTTGCTCCAGTGGGACAAAGTTTTGACGGATCCCACAGAATTAATGTGTCACGTGTCGATATGGTTAGTTTTAAAATATCAGGAGATAATCAGCTGTTATTCAAATAATGTCTAATTATATATTCTATAACAGCATATAACCATGCATACAAAACTTTTTGTGCCTGAGACTACGCCAGTGGTGTAGAAATGGAGAAATAGTAACCCCCTCAAAAGAAAAAAGTAAATTCTTTTCTACGTCACTGACACCTATTGCATTTTTGAATGAGGTATCCAATGTTAAATTAATTGCTTCTATAGAGACATTTTTGTTAGACTGGAGAAAAATGTCTAAATATTCGAAATACAATCCATATAAAAATCTTCAACCTGATCTCTTTTGAAAATACGCTGAAATAGTGAAGTTTGACATTAAAAATTGTAGTGTAATAGCAGTGTAATCCTATCTCTCTTGGAAAACAGGACTGGGAGATGCAAAATCACTGAGACCTGTAAGTCTGATGCCTTTATAAATAACGAATATATTAAGTATAACATATCGCATTATATATATTATATACGTAGCGTGTACTATTCATAAGGACATAAATTTCACAACAAACGGTGGGAAGTTCAAGCCCTAATAGATACAAACGCCTAGTACGCCATCAACATCGATTATCTACGACCGGGCGATAAATTGTACTTTGTGGGTAGGCTTTTTTGCGTTAAATGTCAGTTTCCAAACCCACGGACTCCACGGACAGACATTTTATCGTATTCGTTGTCAGGGCGTGCCGTTCAATTTTTCTTCATATTTGTATTTTTCAAACGTTAATGCCATAAATGTATAAATAACTATTAGTGCCTTTTGATATAACTTTTAAATAAAATTTTGGCAACTAGGAACCATTTAATGGAAATATGTTTCTTTCACCATTCTGCATATGTTGTATATAAGAAATCATATAGACAATATACGATTTAACAAATCTTGCGTGGAAGGGTATCTTTTAACTTTAATAAAAAACAGAGCAATTAGCTGCCCATTGCCGCCTCAATAGGTATTAATACTGCTGACGATAGGCACTGGTGAATACTAAAACATACCCATTTATTGCGAACTGGAAATCGTCTTACCAGAATTTTCAAATTTATAAATTAATATAGACGTCTACCAATCTACCAGCCTTGTCACATGTTAAATATCTGATAATTAACATAGGACGTCTATTATATTTTTAGCTCGTTGGTCTATTTGTTTTCGTTTACTTGTCATGTTACAGATTCTTGTACTTCTTGTCTATGTAGGTATAAAGGAGCATATCTGGCATTTAATACTAGATGAATTGCGACACAGATGGAAAGAAAGCAGAATTACAGGAGCGGCTTCGTCAAGCACTGATTGAGGAAGCTGAGGACCCGGATATTTTCATTTTTACCGGTGCAGAGTATATTATTGGTTTAATGCTGCAAAACCTTTCGAACAAGTTAGAAGACAAGCTCGTAGAAAATTGTACCAACCTAGAAGGAAAGCTCATGGAAAATTGTGCCGATCTTTTAGAAAACTCAGCCAAGCTAGAAAATAGGCTCGTGGAAAATTGTACCAACCTAGAAGGAAAGCTCGTGGAAAATTGTGCCAACCTAGAAGGAAAGCTCATGGAAAATTGTGCCGATCTTTTAGAAAACTCAGCCAAGCTAGAAAATAGGCTCGTGGAAAATTGTACCAACCTAGAAGGAAAGCTCGTGGAAAATTGTGCCAACCTAGAAGGAAAACTCTTGGAGTTACACGAAGGTACAGCCAAATTAGACGAGAATTTTTGGGAAAATACTGCCAATTTAAAAAAGAATTGGATGATACAATTATGAAAAAATCACTGATTTGATGTCTTCAATCTTCTCCAGAAGCTTCTTTATTACAGGGGAGCAGTCTTCGGTGCTATCGGTTTTTACTTGTTCCTCTCTCTCATTCTTGGAGGGGTTCTTCTGATGAGTCTCTGTCCGATCAAGATCCACCTGCGACACCGACATAGATCTGCCTCTCGGACGGCCCCTAATAAATCAGGTATCTTCTTTTGAAAGGATTAACAATTTTTCTCGTTGCCGACACGGTCTGGTCGGCAACCGTGATGTCTCCTCAGTCCTCAGTCCTCAGTCAGACTTTAATTGCCGGTGCTTTGCCGCTGCTCTCCCTCTCCACGTGTGATTGGTCTCCCCCACAATACAAGAGGAGGGCGTCGGCCGCCGGGGCTGAAACCCGATCGGAGCCGACGGTGAGATTTACCCTAGAGGGCGAGCTCACAAGGGGTATAATATCCTTAGTTTTATCACAATTCTGTTTTTTTCAAAATAAGTAAATCCAGTCCTTAACAGCCGCCTTGCTGGTAACCGAGATCTTTCCGATACATGGGCACCAGACCACGCATCCATACTGTATCCTTGGGTCTTACCACTGTCGTGTAAAGCCAATACAGGACCTTTGGCCTTAATCCAGGTCCTGCCGACTACTCGACGCAACTGCCACATGGTCGCTAGGACTTCTTGTAGATGTAGTCGACATGCTGCTTCCATAACAATTTAGAATCCGGCACCACGCTCAGGTATTTTACTTTTGACTGAGGGTCGATGGTATACCATGGAGGGTCGGTGGATTGAAATCCTCTATCTTCGGTCTCTTCGTGAAGAGGACTAGATGGATTGTCTGAGAGCCCAGTCCTCACGCACCATTTTTCTAACATATTACAGTCTATCTGTCTTCTCTCGCAGACGACGCCTAAAAACTTGCCTGAAACGTCAACTAGGAGACGCCACCATGAGAAACGTCAACGGTGATGCCTTCGTTTAACGTGCAGTTCCCACTTCTTCAGTGTTATGTCCACTGTGTTCTTCAAGAGTGTATATTTGTGGTGTATAGGTTTTGGAACTTTAAAGTCGTGCCGCAAATATACAGGGTGTTTCAAATTCGACCCTCACCATTGAGATCTTGGAAACCGTAATAGATACGAAGTCGCTTAAACGGGGGCAAGGTAATCAACAAAATGCAGCTTAGAAAGTTTCGAAATCCAAAGTACTTCTAGAGTGACGGAAAAAAACTAATTTTCCCAAAATTGTTTTTATTTTTTCCTGACTTTTTCTCCGTTACAAGATGGCATAATTAGAATTCCAATATGATGTTTCGCCTCTTGTCCTCCAGAATCAACTTTATTTTTTCTCATGAGCCCCTTATTGGATTTTGACACAGATAAATAGTGTTTTTAATTCTGCATTCAAAAATGTATATGTTATACATTGGCATTGCCAAACCTTAGTTATTATTAATTGAATATAGCAGCAGAGTTTGGAAGGCTGAGAAGAAGTGAAGTAAATCGAGCAGTTAAAAATGTACAGAGAAAAGTCAGGTTTTGCCTACAAGTAACATAGATTTTGAACATCCGCTATGATTTACCTCTGCTTATTTATTGATTATTATTGTTATATAATTTCCATCCAACAACAAATTTATGGACAACTAAGGAAATACATTGCTGAATTTAGGACTGAAAAGTCAATTTAAATGTACAAAATTCCAATATAGCCTCCATATGGAAAAACAAAGTAGTAGTAACAATCACAACAAGCAATTTATTTTGAAATCCCATTTCAAATAAATTGAAGAAAAAGTAAAAGTGATTTTGGGATAAATCTGGTATGCGAAACAAACGACAATCTGATAATTTGAAGGCCTACCTAGGAAATTCTGCAGTTTTTGAAATAATTAAGGTAACCAAGATTTAACAATGTCAATGTATGTTTTTTCCGTCCTTATCCGGAAGTACTTTAAATTTCGAAACTTTGTGAGCTGCATTTTCTTAATTACCTGAAAACGCAACTTTGCCCCATTCGAGCGACATCGTAGCTCTTGCAGGTTCCGAGATCCCAATGTTGAGGGACTAATTTGTGCTGCTTGTATCGAGAGACCCCTGATAATTAACAATTCAGAAGTGAGATAGTGAATTTGTGCCCCAAAAGGGAGTCTTGAACTCGGTGACTTCAACACAAAACTTAAAAGTCAGTGGACTAAGATAATGAGAGCGCTCCAGTAGAGGCGTCTAGAGTGCAGTAAAACATGCATTGAATGTGTGGAGCGTAAAATTGGTGAGCTAAAAACATGACTTAAGTTTTTGCATTTGTGAAATCGTTCGTTCCCGTTAAAGAATGGTGTAGAGAAGCTACCGGATCCACAGCCCGATCCGTCAAATCATGCAACACAAAATTGAGAAGGGCTGCAGAACGCGAGGGTAAGAAATCTCGGAACAGACAGAAAACCTATTTCGCCCAACGTGTGACAGCGTTGCTAGACGTTGAAGAATTTTTGACTGTCGCGGACAGCGTTGCCAGACGTTGAACGCCAGTTCCTCAGACTAAAAATATAAATAGACAAATAATTCCCTACAAAATATCGTCGTCAACATAACTGTATTTACGGTAAACAAATATATGCGACGCTGCCACTTCTCCATACTGAAAAATCTATTGATAATGGAATGAGATATTGGTGTGCACTCCGCCCGAAATGAAGGTGGACTTAAATAAGGTGTGGACGCTCCGGTCGATCGTGGGTCGATCAAACAACTGCTCCTAGGCAGTTGTCAACGTCATTTTAAATTTTAAAAATTTATTTTTTCTTTTCATATTTGTTTATACTCACAGAGGTGGCCGACACGCCGTAAATTCAATTCAAAACGGATGCAGGTTCATGTTGGGTAATTCACAGCGAACATTACATATAATATTTTACCCAGTCAGTTGTTTGGCTGGATTTGTTCCACCTTGGACGAAACTTGCTCTCATTCGAAAGTAGCACATTTCTACCGACTTTTTGCCGAACGTGGCAACGGTGTTCAACGGCAAGTGGTGGATGCGTACACAGAATTTACCAATTTACACACATCTGGTGTTTGTTGTTGTGCACAATGAATTTGTTGCGAGTATTCAAAAGTGTTTTCAGGTTGTTTTAGCGGCAATTATAGCATTGTTATGATTGATAGACAATTTTCAAAGACAATGGGACATCGGAAGTGCATTCTTTGTGGAGTTAGCAGTGAAAAAACCTTCCTATAGTTATTGGTTGTTTTTACACTGTATGTGTGGTGATTTTCAAAAAATACTCTTTTGTTAGACACGTTTTTGATCTTTCAGGTTTCCTAGTGATAAGAAAAAACAAGAAGAATGGTGCACTATCGTCAATATTGACATAAATGATTTACCACTTCATGCCTTTATTTCCGCAAATCATTTTCACAAAAGTGATTTAATAGAAGGCAAAAGAACTCAACTAAAGCATTCAGCAGTTCCATCAGTAGAGCCTTTGAGGCAAACAGAGTAAGTCCTTAATTATATTTAGCTATTGGATGAAATGGAATATTTTGTTGCTATACTTTTACTTATCTATTTTAAAGTGATTCCAGTGATGACGAGAATGAAATCAATCTTGCCCAGGAAATTGCCCTAAGCCATTCAAATAGTGAACAACTGGAAAGCAGGGATCTACCTAGGTATGAAATTTGTTTTTTTTTAGATGTTTTACATCCATATCTGGATCAGCATATATCAATACAAGAACTTTTTGACGCGCTAAATGGCTAAAATGGCTATCAGAGTCTACAGAGTACGCTAAATCCCCAAGTATACCGTTATGTATAAAACGATTTATAATCCAACTTAAGCTCCACAATAAATGTAGTCTCAAAATCTTCCTAAACAATAGTTCATACAGGGTTGAACAAACAGACTATTGTACAATATGTAATACTCGAAAGACCGAATCTTTAGGACATCTCCTCCTGGAATGTCCATTATACAATCCATTGAGAGAGCATATTCTGTCAGATCGTTTGAACCAAATCTGTGTCTTTGTTTGCCTAAATAAAACGAATGAGTTGAATTTATGATACAAACTTTTTAAATACTTTAGGGAAATATTTAAGCTAAGATCTTTCTTAAGGAATGAATAGTTTTTTTGTGCCTTCAATATCAAGTCAGAATATTTAAATTGATGCGTCAATTATTTATTCTTTTTCTGTTTGTTTATATATTTTTTTATATACAACTTTTGATCATGGTTACTATCATTTTCTTACTATTTTTTATTCATTCTCTGGACAGGAAATTTTCTACTCAATTCTTATTATTTACATAATACTCTCTCACTCTTGTTTATATAACTTTGTACTAGGTATTATGAAACAATAAACCTGATAATTAAGTTCCAATAATAAAACCTTGTTTACTTCTCTGTGTTTATTCTTTTCACTGCCATGGAAGGTCATACTGGGTGTATTAACCAGAACACCATTACAGAAAATCACCTACGCCACTGGTGGAATCAGCTGTGGTCTGCACATACACAGCTTATTGTTTGTATTTGTTTTGAATTGGGTTTGTTTGTCTTCATGCATTACAGTGCCGTAAGAATGGTAAGTCTATTTATATTTTTAGTCTGAGGCCAGTTCTATTGAGTTTGAGAATTTCCAACAAAGACATCAGAACAATGATACCGGTGATGTGGGAACTCTGATAAATGCGCTATTCCGCAGAAGCGAGCCAAAGTACTGCATACCAAATTATTAATTATTCTAGAAAAATGTTTCACCTTATGATGGAGAAGCTAGTGAGTGGATCAACACTAAAAAAACATTAAGCAGCAGCATCATTGGCCGGGCAACTACGTGTAACGCCCGGTTTTTCAATCGCAGGTTAACTGCTAACAAGTAGTTGCACCTCAAAAAGCAGGAAACGCACAGAACGCAATAGTTCAGATGCAGAAGTGGCGTTGGCGCATCAACGATCACAAGTTAGTTAACGAAAACCTGAAAAACGAATTTTCAGGTAACTGATGGTTAACTAACAAGTAATAGTTACCCAAGTTGAAAGTTAGCTTGCGATTTAATAACCGAACCTTAGAACTAGCAAGGTCTAAAGGGAGGAGCGCTACATTATTGGTGGTGTAGGATAAAACCAGAGATAACTGACTTTCCAGACTTCATGGAGGAGTTCAAGAAGATTTCTGTTATGATTCTTCTAATGTTGCGGAAGAGAATGCGGGAAAGGACAAAGAAGAAAGGAGCCAACGGCTACATCTTTTTATGAAAAGTGAAATACTGCCATGAGCTACAGTTGAACTGTAGCAGCACGATACGAAAACGTAGAGGGTTTGCTGAGGGACATTATAATCCAGTCCATTTGCCGGAAGAGCGCCGCCATCATTAAGCCATGTACAGATATGTAACAACACCGCGAACCGAACCACGCGACGGACCGCAGCGTGCGCATTTTGACGAACAAGATTGCAATGAACATCACCACAAACCGAATGAAGTCGTGCAACCACATCGCGCAACAAAATGACGATCCAATTTTGTCGTTCAGTGAAAGACAAATACTCGCTGGAAATGGATATAGCAGTAGCAGCAGCTGCCTATATTTATATTCACTACTAATTATCCAAAAACAAGCGACGACGACGTCCGAGACGATGGTAACAAACGCAGTTATATACCAATAGATCAGCACACGGTTGCAACAATTTGATAGCGGAATTGAAATTTCAACAAGTAAGTGGACAGTACAAACATTTTACGAGGATGTCTCCGACAGATTTTGAATATCTTCTCACGTTGATTGGATTAAAAATACGGAAACAAAGTACAAAATGGAGAGCTGCCATCACAGTGCAAGAAAGACCCGGTGCGGTGCGGTTTTTAGCGACCGGTGATTCAGATAGCAGTTTGCAATACATGTTTCGAATTTCAAAGCAATCGATCAGCTACATCATTCCAGAAGTTTGTGAGGCATGGATCGAAGTTTTAAAAGAATATACAGGGTGACTTTGAAGTTGAGTCATTAATTTTCAGATAATGATTGTAGAAGGAAGATAAACCAAAATATATGTGTAAAAATAAAAAAAAATTTTACCTTGTTTTATAAAGTATCCTCCCGACAAGTATTTCAGTGCGGACCTGTATTTGATCGTGAGGTCCCCTGTGAGGTCTTAAGTCACCTGATTCACAAGCCCGTTGTACTACATTAACAAAGGCACGAGGGGTTGGTTGCACTCGATTGGGAAACCGATCCGCATAAACATGTGCCATTTTTTATTTCGTTTGAGCCACGCAACACATACCACTATTCACTGACACTAACTGTATACAAATGAATGAGATACCTGTAAAAACATCGTTCCAAATTCTTTCGCTTTTTTGTTTCCGATGCGATGAACCGATACGGCGGATTATATCCGTTGTCGCCAAACACGAGCACATAATATTATTATTGAGACAGGGCGGTACTCAAACTTCCAAAGGGCTATAACTTTGTTACTTTAATTTTACCAGGAAAATGGTAAAGGAAAAAAACATTTCTTTTGATCAGATCTACTCACTGTTAAAATAAATGACTCAACTTCGAAGTCACCCTGTATACAAGTTAGGAAAACTAATTCTTTTACTTCTAAGTACTCGTACATTACAAAACACATTGGTGCTCGCCGCACCGGTATGCCTGTCCAAACACGTGCAACTTCGTCGCGAGCCATTCCTTTGATGTAGCGCTGAAAAACCGACAGAGCTTGGATCGGGCCGAACGGCGAGCTGTAACGCTAATCAGGCTCGCGACAGCGTTCTTTTCGCCGTCTGCACTAACGCGGTCGCGTGGTTTGGTTCGCGGTGTTGTTACATATCTGTACATGGCTTTACAGTGCCGTTACTGATATAGTCAGATCGACATCAACAGACACAAGGTTAGCCATACAAGTACCAGCGGTGAAGTCAGTAAACCCGAGTGTCCGAGAAGTGAGTTCAAGCCAGCACGAGATGAGGCCGGAATACCCATATGCTTTTATGCAAACGATAGGGGCATGCGTCTTGTCCAGCACTTCGACCCGGAATCAAGCCGCAAAGGTTCCAGCGACTGAGACAGATAAATAGAGAATCACTAGTAACACGAAGAAGCAAAGAGGAGACAGAAAATCGAAATTGAAGTATTTTAAGGAAGCGCTCATCAATGGACAACCTATCGGAGCCTATGTTGACCAGGGCAGCAGGTGTGTGCTCTTGAGGAAGACAGAGTTGAAGACAACTATCTATATCGGATGTTATTTATAGCGCAGTTGATCAAGGAAATCTGCCTTGCTTAATTCTTCTTGATTTTAGCAAGGCCTTCGATACGGTTGACCCAAATATTTTCTTTAAAAAGCTTAGATATGGCCTGTCCTCATCGGCTTGCACGCTGATTAGAAGCTACTTAACGGATCGCCCACAGTCTGTCATATACAGGGTGGCGCATCGAAAACGAAACAGACGCATTTACTGGCAGCTCAGTTTTTTTTTGAAAAACGCTCAGACCCGTCGATTTTGTTTTCGAGGGGGACACAAGTTTGGCAAAAAATCACGTAGAGCACGCCCCTAAGCGGGGGTGACACCACCCCCAAAATCTTAAATGGAAAGGGGGGTCGAGGGATTCCCTTTATAATGATATAAAATTAATGTACTTCAGTTCAGTAGTTTTGAAGATTTATTGATTTAAAGCTTAAATAAAACTAATACATCATCATTAGTGGAGATCAATACATTTGGCAGCAAAGTAATTTAAAAATGAAGAATGAACTGACCCGTTAGGCAAGTAAATGTTGAAAATGGCCACCATGACTCTTCATGCAATAATAAAGATTTTGCTCAAAACGTTGCCACACATTTTGCAATATTTGAGTAGTAATTTGAAGGCACTCATTCACAATTCTTTGTCGCAGGTCTTCTAATGATGTTGGCTGAGTAGCATAGATTTTGCTTTTTAAATGACCCCACATAAAGAAATCCAAAGGTGATAAATCTGGCGGTCTTGGAGGCCATTCAATGGCACCTCTTCTACCAATCCATCGATCTGGAAACGTCTGATCTAAACATTGTCGAACACGTAATGCGTAATGTGGTGGGGCACCATCCTGTTGGAACATCAACCTATTCGGAATGTACCGCCGATCATTCTGATTTTCAATTATTGCTGTTAATGCAGGATCTATGGCGTCTTCCAGTAATTCCAAATACATTTCACCGGTCAAATTTCCAGGTAAGAAAAAAGCACCAACTAAATGACTGCCAAAAATACCAGCACAAACATTTAATTTTTGTGACTGCTGTGTATGAACCTCATGATAAATTCTGGGATTAGAATCGGACCAATATCGGCAGTTATGAAGATTTACTACGCCATTTAAGAAAAATGAACATTCGTCGGAAAAGCAAGTGTTGAATAGAAAATGTTCATCGTTTATAATTCGTTCACTCATATCTTCACAAAATTGTAATCGCCGATCAAAATCGTCTTCATTAAGTTCTTGTACCAGGTGAATTTTATACGGAAGAAAACTATGGGCCTTTAGAATCCGTTGGACAGTACGTCGACTAACTCCAATTTGCGGGTACTTATCGTAGGATCTACATAAACTTGCCCTGAAACCCCCACTTCTATTGCTTCGTTCCTTACGGGATTTTCAGTGTTG